TTAGTAATGAGCTTAAGTTTTCAGAAGGAGCCTGCAATCCGACCCTGCTTAACAATGTTACGACAACAGGTTATTTTTCAGCCTGAGGAGAAGGAAACGCTCCCTGCTTGGGAGCTTTCCAGGGGTTGTTGTGCTTAGCTGGGAGGAAGCAGAACTCTTCAGCATCGAATCTGTCTGCAGCGCTACTGCTGACTGCCGCAGCGGGATGTCCCTGACAGCACACACAGCACGAGGAATCCAGCTTCAGGCTCAGGCACCATGTAGAGCTGGTGCTTCCAGCCCCTCCTGTCTTATGTTATAAGCGGAGTGTGTCTGATGCAGGATGAAGGCCAGGAAACCAATGTAGAAACATTGGCAGGGCTGCCTTGCTGCTGCTCTGGCTTCAGAGTGCTTGGGATGCTCTGGAGTCCTGGAAGATTACTGGCTTTTCATCGGGAGAAATACAAACTGTTACTGTCATTTGACCAGTCTGTAACAGCTCAGAGACAGTACAAGGCAAAAACCAAGATACTGCTTCAAATTTGCAGCTCTTGTTCTGGACAGTTGCTCTGAGTGTTGCGTGTCTCTGAGTCTCTGAGTGAGCGACAGGTCTGCCAGCGAGAAGTGTCCACCCTCTAGTTAGTGATACCTGCAGCCGTATTGACAGCCTGGCTGCAGGTGTATTCGTTCACAGCGGCTCAGATGGCTACAGCTCATTCCCATACATTTGCCAAGGACAGCTTTTCTCCTGGATAGCCTGAGCTGTGGTTTAGATGACCACAGGGAATCCGCAGTTTAAAAGCACCCTTCTGTTTCAGTGAGGCTTTTGCCTTGCAGAGAATTAACACCACCACTTCCGGCTCAGGTGGGTCCATTCAGTACCTCCTTGCCTGACCTCAGGCTTGTCCGTGCAGCCCTCTAGGACAGTTTTGTGGCTGTGGTTTTCTAGGTAGCTGTCTCCTCATGATGACCTGGTGAAAAAATTGTTTGTATTTCCTACCTACGCTGCACAGCTGATATCTCTTGTTGAGGCTGTCACAGCAACAGAAGCGGTCATGGAAAAAACCTTAGTGTAGATTTAACTCCTAATGGAAAGCACACTCCATACCTCTGCTCTGCATCTGGGCCCGAGGACGCTGCTGTCTGCACCCTTTGCGAAAGCAAACGTGCTTTGCTCGGATTCACATCCCTCAGCCCCACGTCCCGGCAGCGGGGCCGGGCGCAAGGCCGGGTGCGGGATGTGGCGGGTGGCAGCATCGCTAACACGCACAGTGCCTTTCGCTGGGAGCAGGCAGGCTCCCACGAGGCGTCTGCCGAGCCGAGGAAGCATGGGGAGGCGGCGATCAGGAGCTCTCTTTGCCAGCTCCCTGAACCGGGTTTAATTTAGCTCCCCAAAAGAAAAGGTCACCTGGAACCGAACGTACCGCACAGAAAGTGCCCTCTGGCAGCAGCAGCGGATCCAAGGAAAGCTCTGCTTATTTTCAGGCAAGGAAAAACAAATCTGATGTTGCAAATGTGGTTTAAATAGAAGCCTTCTTAGTGGAGAGAGACTGGAGAAGGCTGCAGCAGGCCAAGAGGGTGCCAAGGCTGCCTCTTCCAGACGGGCCTGGAAGTAGGAACCATATGAAGCTTCCAAGAAAACAGAGCTTCTGTTCAACTGAGGCTTTACATTTCACTAAAATACCTCAGTCCAGCTTGAATCCTGACTTTGCAATTTATTATCATGACATTATAAAGTAAAATGCCATCAGTGATGAAACTAAATGTTCCCTCTCAGGCAGCAGCCTCAATAAGATGTTCCAGGACACTGAATGGGGAGGGCTCCCCCCAGCTGAATTTTGCCAGATTTTTGGCAGGCAAAAAACTTTCAGTCTTAAAGACACACGGTTTTCTGATCGGAAATCGCTCCCCTGTGACATTCCTGAGGTTTGGCAGCAGCCATGGGCTTCGGAGGCACCAAGCAGGGTATGGTCCTATCATGTGAAGAGTGAAACCTGAGTACATGCAGGAGAGAAGTCCCCCAGGGCAGGGGGAGGATGGTGAGGGAGAGGAGGATGACTTTAGACTCGCCCACGGTCCCTGGCGCTCGCCGGCAAGCAGTGGGTGCATGCTGGGCTCTGCTCGGCTGCCCGCTCTGCGCCGAGGAGAGGTGGCTGCAGCTGGCACCGTTTTTTCGGCATCTCCCCCTTTGTTGCTCAAACATGTATTATTCAGAGCAGCGTGGTGGGGCAGGCGCTGTGTTGCTCTGCACCCGCTCTCCGCCTGGCAGAGCTGGGAAAGGGAGTCTGCGGGGGACGCCGAGGCCCTCGGCTCACACCCTCCTCGCCCGTGGGGCAGCTGCAGACCCCACGGCCTTGCCCATCCACCCGGCTGAGCCCTCTGGAGCAGCCAGAAGGGGAGGAGGAGGAAGGCTGAGGGCTGAGCCCTTCCTGTGGCTTGACGAGTCCTGTTTGTCCCCATTTGCATCGTTCAAAACGCATTCAGGGCTCTCCCAAACACCTCTTGCCCTTGCAACACGGCACGAGAGGCTGCAGTGATTTAGGCAAGCAAAGAAAAGAAAACAAGAAGGGGTGGCGGGAAAGCCGGCCTGGCCGCCGAGCGGTGCCAAGCAGCGCGCAGGGCCGGCGGCTGCCAGGAGCTGAGCTGAAGCGCTCCCTCCCTCGGCTCCGTGAGGGAGGAACCACTGCGGGGGCAGGAGACTGCATTTTGGGGATGTTTCCAATAAATAAACGGCTTGTTTAATCCCAAACTGCAATAGGGACAGGAGCTGTTCCCTCCTGGAAACTTGCCACTGAGCTTGCCTGTTGCGTTCCTGCTGTACGGTGCCCAGGCTGCGGTCCCTGACCCTCCACTTCCCATAATCACGAGCCTCATAGGGATCTTGCTGCAGAACGGATGTGGGTGACATTTAGCAGGAATCCTAATTCTCATCAGAACAGCGCCTGGGGAGATGCAGCCCGTGCTCAGCCCGTGCTTGGCCATCCATTCAGCGTGACCTGCTGTTTTGCAGGCTTGGTCAGCACCTCAGTTCACTGAAAAATGCTCTTGGCTAGTTCTGGGCGATGTTTCCCAGAAACAGCAGGGGCAGGAAAAACGTTTTGCTTGGCATAAGCTGGCCTCAGTGCGAGCCCTCTGGCGTTGTCAAGGTGAAAGGGACCAATCTGCATTTCGCCGTGCCACAAAGCCCCGGAGCAGGCAGCGAGCTGCGCGAGGGGGCTCAGGCTCCCCTCCTGCCGCCCCAGCTGCGGAGACCCCTCCTGTTAGACAATATGCTCCGTTTCCTGTGATGCAGCAAAATGAGGAATATCGCAGTTATGGGAAGCGCACAGCCCATATCCCTTTTGTTCAAAGATGTCAAAGCAATCTACATTCACAGGCCCGTTTTGGGGGGGGGGTATAACCTTTATCACATTCATTTTAGATATGGGCAAAGAGAGAGGTTTTGCATCTCTCCCCCGACCACAGACTTGTTGGCAGACCTGGGAAGAGCAGCCAGTGCTGCTCCCCTTTTCCCAGCTGCGTGAGGCTGCGTTTGAAGTGCCGGGTGAACACCAGAGCTTTTTCTCAACTTGATCACACGTTTTTTGCGTAGCAGCTGCTTCTTCAGGGAATGCAGAGGCAGCAACCTCAGACACGTTTCTAACCAGAGTGAGGTTCAGGCTTCACTAAGAATGAAGCTGTTGGTTTTCCCAAAATACAAATTATTCCTTACTCAAGAGCTACAATAAAAAGTCGGGGAGCAGCCCAGAATACTGCTTTGGTAAATTGAGACATAAATTGAAACTCTTCTCCTGTTCGACGTCTACCTGAGGGTTTTGGGGCAGAACGATGCGCATCGTCATTGTCCCGTGGCAGGAGCAAAACCCCTCTCCGCCATCGCCCTGCCTACGCGCTCGAACCGCGCCGTCACGGGGAGCCCCAGCCCGCTGCGCCCCCCGCCCCGACCTCAGCTGCCTGCCCTCTTGCAAGCACTGC